TAGGAATCCCGCTTGATCGTGATGAATCACTTTCATTAAGACATTTTTAAGTCTTTGAGCTAATATTGATGCATATATTTTATAGTCCACATTCAACAAAGATATTGGCCTATAATTTTTAATCTCTTTTGCATCCTGGTTTTGTTTAAGTATCAAAGAAATAATTGCCTCTTCCCTTCTTTTCTCGCTATGTTACATATATCTTCCAAGGTTGTTATTATTTGCTCTTTGAAAATATGATAAAACTCTATAAGCAATCCGTCCGAACCCGGAGCTTTCCCTTTATTTTGTTTCTTTATTGCTTCAATAACTTCCATCTTAGATATTGGTTGGTTTAATATTTCTTTTTGATCCTCAGTAAATTTTTCCAATGGATGTATCCTCATATAATCTTTTATGTGTTGTACGTTCACGCTCGGTTTGTCATATAAGACTCCATAAAATTTTTCTATTGCTTTCTGGATATCCACCATTCTATTTATCTCTTTGTCATCTTTTCTTAATGTTTTAATATATGTTCTCTCTTTCTGTTGTCTAAGTTTTATTGCCAGCCATCTGGTAGGTTTATTAGCATTTTCGAAAAAGTTCTGTTTTGCGAAAAATAATTTTTTAGCTAGTTCTTCTTTTAATAGGTCATTTGATGGTGTAATAGTTTAAGTCTTTTTTCCGCACTCTCATTTGATATCATTTCCATCATTATATTTTCCTGGTTTTGTATTTGTTTTTGCAAATTTTTATATTTTTGTTTCCTGCGTTTATTTATTCTTGATGTCTCTTGTATCATATTTCCTCGAATAAACGCCTTCATTGCATCCCATACAACCGTTATTGATGTTTCTGGTCTTCTGTTCTCTTTGAAGAAAAATTCCAGCTCTTTCTTCATTTTCTTAACGAATTCTTCATTTCTCAGAATTGAAACATTCAGTGTCCATCTACTCTTTTTATTAATCGTTTGTAGTTTCATATATACCGGTTTGTGATCTGCAAAAATTCCAGCTTGAATTTCTGCTTCTATCAAATCTTTTATCAAAGCTGTTGAGATCCATACCATATCAATTTCCATCTTTGTTTTCCTTTTCTTTACAATTTTCTATCTTTATCTTTATCCCATACAGAGTTGAAATCTCCTAGAAGATAGATATTTTGAAAGTCCTGTTGAGTGATAAGATCGTAAAGTTTCTTGTAGAATTCTTCCTGGTCCTGATTTGGGGCATATAAGTTTACTACTAAAAAAAATTTCCCTTCATTTTGTATTTCCGCCATTAAAATTCTACCATCTTCGGATTCAGATATCAATTCAGGAAACAAGTTATCTTTAACAAAAATAGCCACTCCTCTTTTCTTGTTCTCTTTGTCACAAGCTACAAAAGTTTTTCCTAATTTTTTATTTTGGAGATATTTTTCATCTTTTCTACATATGTGTGTCTCTTGCAAACAAATCAAATCCAGTTTCTGTTTCACCAGTTGATGTAATATCCTTCTTCTTTTTTGTGGTCCATTCAAGCCATTGACATTTACCGATAAAACTTTTATCTTTCCTCTATCCATCATTTTTTCCATTCTGTTGTTGCATTTTTTCTCTTATCAGTTTCCGGGTTCCAACAGGTGATCTTCTCTGATTGCCTTTGCGTCTCTGTTCCTTGGGTTTTGTCCCTCTTATAGCTCCTTCTTCTTGGGATCCCTCTTCTTCTTCTTCTTCTTCTTCTTCTTTGTCGTCATCTTCTATGTCTTCATCTTCCTCCGCGCCCATCTCTTTCCCAAAGGTAGCCAAAAAGTTTTCTGCCTTGAGTATGGATGTTTTCCAATACATTTTCATCTGATAAGTAAAAGTGACACCCTCTGGTATGAGCCAGCGATATTATACCTTGTTTTTCCTCAGGAGTGTTGTCAGTTTGATATATTCTTTTCTTTTTTCTCTTACCCCCCATGGGATTTCTTTCAAAACTTTTATTTCATTCCCATCCATCATCATTGGTGTTGCGTTTACTTCCTTCAAGATTTTGTCTCTAATAATTCTTTTGCCAAACTGGATTTGGACTTCCCTTGGAACTTGCATTCGTCTCGCGTATGCTGAATTCAGCCTGAATACTTGATTAAATTCCTTTAGCATCTCTTCATCTTCCACCTGCATATAATCTGCTAAAATCTTAGCCATTTTCCGACGATGTCTTCATCTTTTTCTTCAGGAATATTCTGGAATCTCAGTACATACACTGCTTTATCGACTTGAAGTCTAGTCAGCTCTTGTTCATATTCTTCTTGCTTCAAGTCAAGTCTCCTTGTTTCATCTTCAATCCTTTTTGTCTTAAAATTCATCTTTTCTGTTTTCTTCTTCAATTCCACAATTTGTTTTGTATTTTCTGAAACTAGTGTTTGTATTGCTTGTATACTGCTCAAGAATTTTTCTGTTATTTGTTCCATATTTGTTTCTACTTTCTTCATTGAAATCTTGATGGGATCTACAGCTTCTGCGACAGAAAGTTGGACCAATGACTGCATCTCCTTTTGAGCTGGGGCTGAAAATTTAGATATTATAATTTGTACAGGGCTACCCCGTTAGGTTCCCGCCCTGGCCCCCCATAGGAGCAAAAAATGGCGAGCGTTGCAACAAATTGTGAATAAAGGGGTGGGTGGGTTTATTCTGTTAGATCCCTATTAAGGAGCTTATTCCAGACTTTTCGCCTTTGACTTTTGTTCTTCTTCTTCAAATGCACGCCTCTTATAGATTTGTTGGTAATGTCCCACTCTGCCCTACTGCTCTGCCAAAAATGAGTCAGGATGTCTCCCTCTTGTTACTTGGCCGCTTGAGCAATACTGGGGAGAATCTCCCGCCCACTCTCTGGGCTGTCACATAAAAAGAGTTATTTTAGCTTTTCCCTCCGAGTGCACAGAAATCACTTAATCACTCACAGTTGTACCGTCTTAGCTCTTTTGCTGTACTGATCTCACACAAAAGCGGTAGCGACAGCTACACCCCCCTCCCGGGGAGTTTCATTCTTGCAGATGGCTTCAAGGCGAGCCTGGTTCTCCCAGCGGGTAGCCAACACACTGGGTAGCTGGCTCAAGCCTCTTGCTCCCCACTGCTCCTTCCCTGGAGCATGGGGTGGTCTCCATTTAACACAGGAGCCCCTTTACAAACCCGGAAGTGATCAATCACACAGAGCGAACTCCTGTGCGACTGCTCATGCCGTGCTGCAGCCGCGATTCAAGAGCAGTTGTAATTCTGAGTGATCTCCAGCCTTCACCTGGAGATTGGCAACAATGGTTCCCCAGGAGGAAAAGTACAGTCTTTCTTTTCAATGGCGACCAAAGCAGCATACATCATTCTCCTCACCCTCTTTTAACTTGCATAACAACCCTGTGAGGTAGGTTAGGCTGAAAGTCTGTGACTGGTCTAAAATCACCCACTCAGCTTCCACAGCAAGAACCTGGGTCTAGCAGATCCTACTCTGAAGTGCTAACTGCTACGCCTAGGGTAGCCAGCCTCCAGGTGGAGCCTGAAGATTGCCAGGTATCACAAGTGAACTCCAGACAACATCTCTCTCTCTCTCTCCTTCCCCCTGGAGAAAATAACTGCTTTGGAGGGTGGGCTGCATGGCATTATATTCAGCTGAGGCCTCTCCCCTCCCCAAACTCTGGCTTCCTTAGACTGGCTTTCCTTAGACATAGAATATCCAGGAATTTCTCTATCTGGAGCTGGCAACCCTAGTCAGGACTGGCCCCAATGAGTTCCTCACAAAGGCCTGGAAAGGGTTTCCTTCCTTTGCCTTTTTACTGACACAACCAAGCTTGATTGCCTACCAACAGCCACTGAGGTAAAAATTAGTCCCACAGGAGCCAAGCAAGAAGTGTCTCCATCAGGAGAGACAGTTGTTTGGCAGTTATTCTAACAGGAAACAGTGGCAGTGGGCGGGGAAGAGGAGCAGACCCAGCACCCAGCCAATGGCACACAAGTACTCTTGAGTGGCAGTTGATGGGCCAATGGCTGATGGAGTGCACTGCACAGCTAATGGGAGAGCTGGAAATGGCCATCGTATAAGAGAATTATATATATAAGATGTGCTCAATAGCGAATAACTAGCGAATAGACGTTAATGGCTTGGATCCAGAACAGCATTTCTACAGGGGCAAGGATTTTTGTCTGCCACACAATTTTCATGGTTCTCTCCTCCTGCAGCAGCTCCAAATACTCCACAAAACTCTGGCTGCTGGAGAAAGGGGAAAAATCTCACACCATGGGTAGAAATCCTTGGACCCATGGAAATGCTGTTCTGGATCCAAACTAGGGTTGCCAGCTCTGGGTTGGGAAATTCCTGGAGATTTTGGCAGTGGAGCCTGGGAAAGGCAGACTTTGAGCACAGGAGGGACCTCAGTGGGGTATAATGCCACAGAGTCTACCTTCCAAAGTAGCTGTTTTCTCCAAGGAAACTGATCTCTGTCACCTGGAGACATATAAAGAAAGTGTGGTATAAATATCCTGATCCCACTAGATATATTATGCATGGGTAGAAGGAGCCTTTGCATATCTGTCCCTAATTGGATGATAAATGTGTGTGCAAATGTCTGCTGTGTGCCCCATTCCTCTCTAATATAGTTGGTGAAGTTTCTGTTGCATGGGGCACTTAGATCTATCAGCTGTTCAGAGATGGAATGCTATGTTTCAGCACCATCACTAGAGAAAGCTCAAGAATAGCTAACTGCCCATTTAGCAAGGGTCAGATGACACTGGAAACCATACGGTTTCTCTGAGACCTATAAAGGCTGGGTTCAAGGTGAACAATGTGTTGCTTAGTACACACTGAGCAGTCAGACTGCCTTGCTGCTGATACTGACACATATCAGAATGTTTGACAACTGTAAGTACCTTCTCCTCATGTTTAAATTTGTATGTCCAGTTTGTTTTGACTTTCCTTGCATGCGTTGTCCTCTAGAATCTTTATTACTGATTTGATTTGTCAGTGGTCTTAACTTAATTGAGTCTATTAATACCCAATTTACAGGGATGCAGAGGTTATCATCACAAAACCCTGAAAGCGGTGTGCTTAAGGGACGGTGTGTATGCCTCTAAAAACCTTGCCCGCATTGATTTCAATGAAAGCCTTGCCGATCCCATCTATGATAAAATAGATCGCATTTTTGGAAGTATCTTCAGGTAAGAGAATCTTCTGCCTGTTCCACATATTAGAACATTGTTTGAATGGCATTTTATCCCACTGTCTGTAAGGGTATGTGTGATCTTTCTGTCGCTTCCACTTCCATATGGCATGTCCTCATCTGCTGTTCAGATCATATCACCCCATTGTTGGCCCACCTACGCTGGTTTACAATTTGTTTCCATGCCCAATTCAAGGTGCTGGTGTTGACCTTCAAAGCTCTATATGGTTTGGGACCAACATACCTGAAGATTTGCCTAATCCCTTATGAACTTCCCATCTGCCCTATCTCGGGTGCTGCTCACTTCTGAGATTAGGAGGGTGACATCCTGAGAGAAGGCCTTCTCAGTCACGGCACCAAAGCTCTGGAACTCTCTCCCCATAGAGATTCCCCTGTCCCTTTCTGTTGTCATCTTTCACCAGTGGTTGAAGACTTACTTTGTTTTGTTTGGCATTCCCTCAAAGAGCCCTACTTCCTAACCAATATTTATATGTTTTGTATGTCTTTTAACTCTGTTTTAACTGTTTTCAAAGTTGTTTTAATGATGTATGTTTTAATATGTTTTATTATAATGGTTTTATAATGTATGTTTTTATTATGAAATTTTATTATAATTGTATTATTATATATTTACAAGTGGAGACCTGCAAGAAACTTGCGGGATGGTTATCTCATTCATCACACCTTTGTTTGCTTCCTCTCCTCACCCCTGCCTCTCTCACACTATTTCTGCCCTCTGCCCCCCATTTCTTACTCTCTATTTCTCCTCCATGCATGTGACTTCCTCTCTCTTTCTGACCTGTCATCTTTCTCTTTGTTTTTCTGCCTCCCCACTCCATCACTCTTTCTCTCTCTTTCTGCCCCCATCCCATCATTCTTTCTTTCTGCCCCCATCACTCTCCCAGCCTCCTTCTGCTTCATCCCCCACTCTGCAGAGCAGCAGCAGCAGTGGCAGCAGTGCTCCTAGCCACGCGCCTGCTTCCTCTCCCCCCACAGCAGCAGTGGCAGCAGTTTGGGAATCACAATGGATCTCCCAGCTACAGAGATCAATTCACCTTAGGGCTGCCAGCTCCAGGTTGGGAAATTCCTGGAGATTTGGGGGTGCAGCCTTGGGACAGTGAGGCTTGGGGAGGCAAGCAGCCTCACGCAGGGTATGATGCCATAGACTCAACCCTCCAAAACAGCCATTTTATCCAGGGGAACTGATCTCTGTCACCTGGACAACAGTTGTAATTTTGGGTGATCTCTAGTCCTCACCTGGAGGCTGGCAATGGTGGTTCTCATGGAGGAAATGGCTGGAGGGTGGAGTCTATGACATTACACCAGTCCAAAGTTCCTCCCCTCCTCAAATCCCACCCTCTCCAGGCTCCACCCCTCAAATGTCCAGGAATTTCCCAACCTGGAGTTGGCAACCCTATTTCCTTCCCACCCAACAGCCAACCTACCTTTATCTGCCTCTCTGTCTTCTGCTTTCCATCTCCACCCCCCAGCCTCTACCTAGGAAAATTACAGTCTTTCTCCACAGTGGGGACCAAAGCAACTTTCATTATTCCCTCCTCCTTTTTATCTGCACAACAATTCGTGAGGTTGGTTAGGCTGAAATATGTGACTGGTCCAAAATCACGCAGTCAGCTTCCACTGCAAGATGGGGATCTGAACCAATGCTCCCTCTAAGCTGTGGAGTCTTGTGAGCAAAAATTCTACTTTGTGAGTTGCTGGCATTAAAGTTGTGAGCGAGCAATTTGGCTAGTGCATACATTAGTTTGCTCTGGAGCCATCCTTCCTGAGCTAAGACAAAAATGTGTGAGCTGGAGGCTAAAAAACTGTGAGCTAGCTCACACTAACTCAGCTTAGAGGGAACATTGATCTGAACCTGGGTCTTGCAGACCCTACTTTGAAGCTCTAACTGCTGCACCTCACTGGCTTTCATAGGGTGGCTGCTGATGAATGGTAGCAAGCAGCCGAGGCTAGGTGAGTCATGCAAATCAGGGGG